TGGCAGCAGACCTATCCACAGAGACCTGGCAGGCCAGAAAGGACTGGCATGATATATTCAGAGCACTAAACGAGAAAAATATGCAGCCAAGGATACTATATCCAGCTAGGCTGTCATTGAAAAAAGAGCCTTGTGGAAGAAAAACACTCTCTGTTGAGCCTTGCTAGAAGTGCTACAGGCAACACTGTTCTCCCATCCTCGTGCTGTGTGATACTTCTTGCTAAACCCCCCAAGGACTCGAGTGAAGATTTTACAGTCCACTGAGGGACATCACAGTTTGAGTACAAACACACCCATTTTGTACCAGTGCTTTTTGCATATTTCCACCCTAAACTACTGGCATTAGGTCTGGGGGTAAGCTGGAGAAGCTGCCTGCTGCTAGGCCTGGCCCCCCCTGCACCCCGCTACCCCACCCCCCAGAGCCTGGGAAGGTCGCTTGTTCGCCACCCATTGTCCACACCTGTGCACTCAGGCAAGCTCTAGACTGACAAGATACTTAAGTTTTAAAGATCAGGCCCACATAGTTTTCTTTAGAAGAAGCATGCATCACTTAGCAGGAAGCTCGAAAAGGCAAATGTGTTTTCTAAACTTAAAAAAAAAAAAATCAGCTTTAGGATTTTGTGTGGTTATGTGCAATGCAGCAAAACTACCTACACGTAAATTATTTTGTTATTTATTTCTACTTCCGTGTTTCATTTTTTATGATACTGATTTTCCTGTTCAGTAATGAATGATGTGACCAACCCAGGAGAATTCTTTGTTCTGTTACTGAGATGATATTTTACAGTTAGGAATTACAAAAACTAGGATCTTTTAAATGTTTTTTTTAATTATTATTTAAATGATGTTTACCATTCAAAGTAAGAATAATCATCTTTGGGGTATTGTGGTGTCATATCATTTTCCATGTTCGGCCGCTTCATGTTACCACACTTACACACAGATGGGTGTCGAGAGCCAATAAAATGAAAGCTCATCCGCTCGCCCATAGACTCTGTGTGAGCTTGCTTTCTTATGACTGAAATAGATTTTT